TGATTGATTTTACAAACGTCTTGGACGATTTTCTGCTGCGGTTGTATACGAATAACTATTATAGTAAAACTATTTCGGAAGTAGGTCGTCATATAACGCACCACTCGATAGATACAGTTTATGTCGTACATCGTACAACTGTTGTCTCGAAAGTCTAATGAATCTAAAAGTCTACATTAATTAGTCCACAACAAAAATAACGAGTTACGGTCAAACTCATTTTAAACGCCGAGTTTAGCTCGGAATTCAGTTGTTGTTGTTGTTGTTGTTGTTTTCGTCGCTGTCGTTATTATTATGAATACAGTAGTTACACCGTTCGGGAGGCTTTCGAAAGCTGCTCGGCTGCAGGGCGGTGTCGCGAACGGCGCGCGAAACGTTTCCCGGCAAATCGGGAGTGGCTGAACGGCGGGGGACGAGAAGGCGGGAGAGCTCCGCGAAAATGGGGTGGGGGTGGTTCTAACGACGAAGGGCTGGGCGGCAGAGGCCTCGGGAAAAACAATAGAGACTGTGTAAACAAACGATAACGTCACCATGGCTACCATGGAGGCGGTGGCGGACCCTATTATAAGCGGTAAATAATTGTGTTTACCTATATATTATATACGTATTATAAACAATAACAATAATAATAATAGAAGGTATAATAACAACAATATTCAAAATATTATTTTAATTTGGCTGTTTACTCTCCGGTCGCTATAAATGTATGATATTTTATAAAATATAAAAAAACCACGCATAGTTACCATATGTATAATATACGCCCTAACACCGTCACCGCGGACGGCCAGTAAAAAAGTATTTTCCCTGCAAGATAATTTAAGAATTTTTCCCATATCGGATGAGTAAAGTAGGTCATGGCTACAGCGAGTATATCAAGTACCTGTACCGGTAACACATAATATCATACCTATCGTACATATTAAAATACCATACACGATATAGGTAAAATAATAATAATATTCATAATAAAATACGATGTCTCGGCAGCCAACTAGACAACTGTGGTGTTTAATTTATATATATATTCAACTTCGACGTGTGCGAAGGCTGATGACCCGACGCCAGACGACGGTAATACGTCTTAATACACAATAACTACCCCTCCTCGCCATCCCCTAAAAATTGCACTCCAACATTCGTAGTATTCGTATACACGTACTCGACACTTCGGGTACTCGCGCATATAATATACAGAGTGATTTTATTATTGGTAATAATACATATTTTATTGAATCTTTGATTTTTGGTATTTTTAAGACGCATACTTAAACGTCATACTATACCATTTAAGCAGTGTTCTGTGACGAAACAAACCTATTTTTTTCATACGAGACCCACGCATTTGTTTTCGGTAAATTATTGAGCAGATCTACTCGTCGACCAGTTTTTGAACATTTTAATGTACATGTCTAAATCGAAATTGTACACCTAGTTGAAATTAAATTAATAAGATGTTTAATTATTTAACTTCGTGTAGGAACCTATAGTGTATGTACTCGGAGTAATAAAATAGATCCATGTTAACAGGTTTTGGGAGATAAGGTGGAGGATATGATGTCTTGGAAATTATAGTTATAAATATTAGTACGTTACAATTTTATGTTTTATAAAAGTTGAGTACAATAAACTATTATCGTTAGATATACCCTAAATACGGTTATGGGTACTAGTGTTAAATTGATTGCATGTAAGATCAAAATAAATAATTATAATAATATCGTCATTATTGCATGCATTTTAATATTATAGTTAATCCAAAAGCTGCTTGCTCAAATTTTGATTTAAATACATGACAAAAAAACAATCGTCTACTACTCGACAATTATTTATAGTAAAAACGTCCTTATTTAAAGGAAAAAAATCCCAGGACGCTCAATTATATTATTACGCTCGTAATATATATGTTATAAAAAAATCTATGGCATATAATATATGAAAATATGGTCGTCATATTAAGTGTACCGAAAATCACGGTTTGAAAAAATGCATTATTAAAAAATAAAAAGGGGGTTAGCATACTTGGTGAATCACTCTGTATAAACGAGTTCGCCAAGGTATGTATAATATCATTATGTGAGACGACGACGTTACCTTAGCGACCGTCTCCATCCGACCGTATCGCCGCGACGTGTCGTTATTATAATATATTATTATTATAATCGTTTATATTTTATATACATAGGCTGCACTACCATTACGGTGGGTGGGCGTAGTGTGCCGAGGAGGAGGATAACTCTGTTGTACGATTTATAACAATATAATAATTGTATAATTACCGCCACACAGAGTCCTCTTCTCTGACACTTTGGAAACGGTATGCTAATTACACATTGTCTGCAGCATTATTATACCACATATTCTGAACAATCGCAGACGATACGCGATGTATACCTGAAAAAACGTATTTTATTATAAATGTTTTATGTGTTACAGTTAATTATAATGTTATTGTGTTAGATACCTACTTTTTTACCTTTTCAATAAAATATAACAATATTTATGACTCGATTGTACACGTAGTTGCCCGAGACGTATAATCTCTGGTTAACCCTGCGAGACCCTCGGAGAGCAATACGTCATTGATTTATCCATCGGCAACGGTTTTCATCAATTAATTACAACAAAGACTTATTATTATTATTATTATTGTTATGTCACATCATTATTTCTGGTACCTTTCTCTATGTATACTCAGACATCAATACGTCGCGATCATATTTTGACATTTTTGTGACTTGTGAATTTGTGACGTATTCAATTCAATATTATTACGCACAGATTACTAGACTACTAAAGTATTGGTATACTAGCTTTTTTTAAATAAATGTTAAATTTCATTAGAAAATCGACTGAATGAAAACCAACTAATTACATAAAATTTGACTGTTCGACTTGGTGAGCATTTATTCATTACGAATGGTCGGGAAATTAATAAAAACAAACTAATTCTGACAGATAGGTGACAACATTAAAGTGTGTACCAACTAATGTTTATATTATGCGATATTACAATACCGTCAGTCATAACTCGGCGGCGTTTAGTTACGATCATTAATTTTCTTCGCTTTTGCGGGTGACACTTCACTAGCAGTGTTTTAAACTATAGTTTTATATCTTTAAGCTGAAAACGGAAGTAGCAAAACACTGAACACAATATTCACTGTAATAAAGCTAATTTCTCAAAATAAATATTATTATGTACCTACCTATTATACCTAGGTACCTTATGGGCACGTGTATACGCTTTGCGTTTTAACTTGTGCAAATAACGCGAATGCCTTTTGTTTTCCGGGAAAACGAAATTGGATTGTGTAAGTACAAATAATATTCTAGTTGAGCCGTTTGAATTTTTAATGGAATATTTTATGACTTTCTGCATAAGAAAATCGGACGGAGAAACTGAAAAACAGTTTCACACTGGGAGATTCTCCCTTATTTGGTAATCATTAAAACAAAAAAAAAAAAACGTGGTTCGTTGTACACGCTCGGTGCGGACCATGAGGGACGATAATTTCGTCGAAAACGCGTAAAGTTTATCGGTCGTTTTAAATCGCGTACCTACCTAAATATATATACACACACATATATATCTATATATGTTTTTTTTTTTAAATAAAAACTCAACTCAATTAGTCATATCGTAGGCGGAAAAACTGTTCGACTTCGTCCCTTTTATAGGATTCTTTCTGCAAACACTACGGACGACCCTCGACGACGCGATGGCCGCAACTACGTTACGACGACGACGACGATGATAATAATAATAATAATAATAATAATAATACGAAGTGCTCGACGGTTCTTTGAAAACAAAAAGTTACCCCTCCGGAAACGCCGCCGACTTCGTATATACAATACAAACACGCTGTAGCGGTGCGCATAAAATGTTTATAACGTTGTACGAAACACTTGTTCGAGGACCACGCGATGTTTTGTGCGGTGAACGACATGGTAGTCGGTGCAAAAATAAAAAATCCCCATTTGTTTTTTATACCACGTTTGAGCGCCCTGCAGTATAACCAGGTTACAACCCCATAGGTTAGCGGTAGTAAACATCGGCCAAGTAAATAACGATCCTGTGCTGAAGTCAATATTTGTGAGATCTTTTTGCGAACGTTTTCGATTCCTCGAACACGATGCACAACAATATCGTGTAATTCTAATAATATAAACATTATATTAATATATTATTGTGCAGACAGTATAGAGACGTGTTTATTTTTTCGACGTCATATTATTTACTATCTTATAATCGGGATTGTGCGTCGGTGATAGAATAATTTTTCTCAAAAAAATCTGAATATTTTGTTTTTGATAATGTCGAGTTTGGATCCTTTCAATATCCTTTCTTTCCATATCCTTTTAATTTTCACGCATATTTTCTGTACAAAATATATTCGATGCTTCATATATTTTATGCCAGGCGTCTCACACTCTCGTACCAGTTTAATTTTTTTTGGTAGTTACTCGTCCACAATCTCCGCATTTTATATACGTATATCTCGTGCTTCGAGCACCTTCGTAGGTAACCTAACCCTAAGTAGGTTGTTATAGTGTCGGCTCTCGTAGGGATTATTCGTTTTTAAGCTCGAACATCGAATATTTTATCGTTTATATAGTATAGGTCTATGTGTATGAGGGTAAGTTGGCCATTGCAAGAATAAAAAATAATTCTTCATAATGTTTATCTACAATGATAAAAGGCAATGTTTGCTCGTGTTTTTTATGTACAAGCGATCCACAGCCAAGTCTATCGCTTGGCCTAATAACAAATAATTATAATGTGATTGCATCGATGCCATAAAAAAATCACCGGGAAACGTGTTTTTACACGTCAACAGTTATTTATATCTTTGTTCTCCAAATTTTTCGGAATCGGTCTCAGCCGGTTCGACCCCCCCCCCCTCGCGATCGACTGCGGTTTATTTTTTTAATTTAATATTGTTTGACGATAAATATACGTACTCATCGTCGTATTCGACTGTTGTTGTTCACAGGCGAAGAATGTTCGCGCAACTACATGATGGACGAGGACGACGAGGACATCAGCGTAAGCGGCGACGGATGCGGCAGCGACATGAGCGACGACCGGGACAAGGTCAGTGGCGACGGCAGTTCTTCGACCGGCGGCGGCGGCGGCGGCGGCGGAGGCAGTGCGAAAAAGTCCAAATCGTCTTCCGACCACTGCGGCGGAGGCGGCGGAGGCGGCGGAGGCGGAGGTTCGAAAAACGGAGGCAGCGGCAAACCGCGGAGGGCCCGGACAGCGTTCACGTACGAACAGCTGGTGGCGCTCGAGAACAAGTTCAAAACGACGCGGTACCTGTCGGTGTGCGAGCGGCTCAACCTGGCGCTGTCGCTGTCGCTCACCGAGACCCAGGTGAAGATATGGTTCCAGAACAGGCGGACCAAGTGGAAGAAGCAGAACCCCGGACTGGACGTGAACAGCCCGACGGTGCCGCCGCCCGGGCCGGCCGGATCGTCGGCCACCGGTGGACCGCCGTTCTTCCACCCCCTGGCCTACTCGGCCGCTCACCACTACCAGACGCAGAGCTACTCGGCCGCCGCGGCCGCCGCGTACTTCCACCACCTGGGCGCGCACCACTCCACGATCGGCGGCCACCATCCGCCGTCGTAATGGCCCGTCTCCCGTTCCTAAATATTGCAATATTATATAACACGACCGCACCCCCATCGTCCACGGACGCCAGACCGCGGCGAGACGGCGTCGGCCAGATCTCAAAATAATAATAATGATAATAATGATAATGATAATGATAATAATTGTGTACGATAATAATATCATAGTTTGCTCGCCGCCGGGCCGGACGACGAGACACCGCGACGGCAATAATGTATTATAACAATACGGTCAAAAGTAGTCGCCTCTCTTTGGACCGACCGCTAGTTTCAGAGTTATTCGCCTCTGAGATTTTTCCAATATAGATGGGTGGGTGGTAGCCGGTGGGTGGTAGCCGGTGGGTGGTAGCCGGTGGGTCCTCTGGTAAATGCAGTTATGTTATACTCGGCGGGTAATCAATAATGATCGGAAATATAACAAGTCGTATGATATATTGTTATGCACTATAATTATACTCGCGATATTTGTAACTGTTGCATCTGAACGATTTTCAGTCATATCCACTCCACTGACTGAGCATCGCGGTCGACGGACTTATTCACCTGGCGGACCCTAGATGATGGGTTTGACCTATACCGGCACACGAGGGAAAAAAATCAGTCTACATCACTGCATGTATGTTTTTGAAGGCGCATTTCCACATTTTTTTCTGGTCATTTCCCCCTATTTTGTGGCATCACGCATTTAACGGTTTGCGTTATTTTCAAGATGTTTTTTTTTACATAATTTTAACTATATCATTACGAAACAAAACTTTTGAAAGGAAAAAATCTATACATTTTTATCGTTGTCAACTTTTATTTTTATTTTTTTCGTATTATGCATATTTTGAAAAACATAAATAAACAAGTCATAACGAATATGAATTATTATCATGGGTACACCTACACAGCCAAATTAATTTTTTTTTTACGACGCATTATATTATGCAAATCTTTTTATCCTTTGACCTTTCGGCTCATCCGGCTAACGTGAACTCAAAGTATACTCTGGTCCCAATAAGTGATGACTACTGCAACAGTATTATAATAATATATTTTGAAACGACCCAATACGAATATGCGAGGGCGGTCGACCCGATTTGTAGCAACTAGCAGATCGCCCGAGATCGTATTTTTGTCGCGGTTTTTCCGATCGAAATCTCCGAGTCCAGACCGCTGCTGGGTATTCACGGTGGTATTCGATGTTATATACCTATAGATGACCGCGAATACCTGGATACATATAATATCATTTATGTTATAATATTATGTAAACTCTTATAATGATAATAATACGTTATGTCGTCGTCGTGACATTATGATAATTTTTTATAGCTAATGTTTTCCGTACCCCTTCTGCGCCCATCCCGCAAAACCCATATTACGATATTATCATGTATCTTAGATATCTTGTGTAAACTATTACGATTTTACGTCTTATTCTTGTTATATAATATAATATATCATAACATAATATTATTAGTAATATATAATATTGTATTGAATGATGTATTGTATTGAACAACGGAAATGATCTGAACCGTGTCCGCAATAGTCGAGCGATCGACACGTATAAAAGCATATAACATTAAATATTATTATTGTGTTTATTTTGTTATCATACAAATTATTATATGTTATGTATATATTGTGTCGCGTAGGTATAGTAGTGAATTCCGGTCAGGCCTTACAAAATGTATGGGTTGGTTCTCGAGCCAAACCTTAAGGTTACCTATTAAATTACTGCAGGGCGTTTCAACTACGTTCTTTCGTACAGACTTTGAGTATAGGCGGTACACCTATATAATATCATTTCAGTTTGATAAAATCGAAATCGTTTTTGGCGTTATGCGAATCCGAGTTTTGGGACCTACTTGCAGTAGTTGTACCTATCCATCTCATGCAATGCTCATCTCGTTATCACGATAATAAATAATATAGATTCACTGCGCAGAATTATTTGCGTCTCACCGTGAAACTCAATTTCATTCGATCCAAGGTGGAATTAATTTTTTAATTAAAATAACAATTTTATCATTTTTAACAATTTACAATAGTTTTTAAGTTGTTATTTTTATTCAGAAATAAACAGCTCCTGTCGTTCACCAAGACCTCTAATTCGATGTTTGATATTTTGCGACACCGTGCGTGACCAGAAACCATAAAACACCACCCGTCCACCCGGTATCAGAAATTTTCAAAAAATCTAGTTACGATTATACCTATGTATAAAAAAATATGAGTTTTGAGGATGACAATAATTTTTTGTTATACTTATTATTTCTACAAGTTTGAATAGGAATCAGACAGATGGGTAGGTATACTCAGTGGAATCCCGCGTTCAGTGCCAAGAAGGTTTTCTATTTCGCTCAACTGACATCATGAGAACATAATATTATCGAAGTCTGTACGGAACAACCTGAATCACTCCGCAGTATACGTCATGACACATCTCATGTAAACTCATAAAATAAATGTATATTTTATATTATTGTTGTTTCGTTAATCTGTTTTTATGTTTATTGTTTGTATTATTATTATTATTATTACTATTGCACACTCCTTGGTAAAAATCGAGTCAGGCCGAGGCAATTATTGTAACAGTTTTTTAGTTTGATTTTATTACATATCCGACCTGCGAATGCCCATGGCTTACATTTTGCAATATTATATATATATCAATTTAATACAAATATTAATATTTTTATACACATTATTATTGTTAGATAATATTATAATATTATTGTTCATTAATCGTGTTTTTTTTTTTTTTGTATGATTTTTGGCTTTTAACCAACAACATAATATTATCAGAAAATGTAATGCAGTTGAATTATATATTATTATTATTATTATTATTATTGTACTTATACGTTATAGTTATTGTATTGTAGTAATATCGATTTAGCTACGACTTGTGAATTACATAATATTTATATGTTCACAAAGACCGTAGTCGAACCGGTATCTTTTTTGTTTCTCAGACGTACCACTCTCGAACCCAACAAAATATGTATCAATGTAATATTTTACTATATATAGGCGTGTACGGTGTACACATACATTATATAATTACTTATTGTACTATATACCTAGATTATCATCGTATAGAATTAGGTCGATTTTTATTGTTTGTTCGGTACACGTAAGTATTATTGCTATATGTGTAAATAAACTTTAATGATAATATTGTATTGTATTGTAATATTATTATATCGTGTTCGTTGTAAATTACTACCACATGTACAGTAATAAATTATGAAAAATAAACGGACTACCTATTATGTTCGCTCGTAAGCACTCTTGTTTTCATTTGGCCCATCCCCCTCGTGGTTCCATGCCCGATACCGGCACATTATATATACATATACGTAATATCGTATTATTTTATATATACGCGCGTATATACCTACCCCAAACAGCGGCGACACATGTGTCCGTACACAAACATTGTAATGTTATAATATATATTAGCGGTTGTTATTCTAGCACTTTTTTTTTTTTTTACTCTCCGTGCGCTAAATCCACGAGGGATTAAATTAGCGTAATTCAAAAAATAAACATCGACCGCGATAGTCATTAGAATATATATTAGTAAAAATCGTGTACTGCACCAGCGTGTGCACGCGGCGGGTGTCTGCAGTGTATAAGCGCAATAAATCATTTTTTATTGGACTACTATAATATTGTTGTTATTATTTTATATTATAACGATCGCTCGCCGATCTCTCACGAGACTCGGTGGAGACCTCACACAACGTGCGATAAAAACTAAGTAGATCGATGACGTACGTAATGTACATAAAACGGGTGACGGCGATATAACACGTGGATCGTATGTGTGTTGAACAGCTTTACTCGACCTATTTATAATAATAATAATAATAATAATAAACAGAGAAAATATGATTTTGGATGAATCGCCAACAAGACAAAAAAATAATGAGACCAATAGTTGTCGAAAAGAAATTTTCTGAATAACGGTTTTACGCGAATAATTTTTTTTTCGATAAATTATTCAGCATTTTTCTTGGTAATTATTGCAATAATATTGTGAACTTTTCACCACACCTTGCCGTAGAATACTACGAGTCACATACCATTAATATGAAAAATATGCGCCGATAATCTAATAATAACAATTGATAACTGTGTTCAAAATCATGTATCCGAGTGAGAGTGGTAATCATTATTAGTTATTGCAATTGAAAATGGTGTAAATATCTGTATGGGTTCACATGGGACAAAACGGTTGAGTAAAACTGGTATAGAACACTTCTATTATATTATTCATATATGCATGCGAGTAGGGTTACCGATATATGTGTGAGCTGCAAGCCCGAAATGTGCAGGTATTCGCGGAAAAACCGGAAGAGCCACAGGATTCCGAGGAAACCAGTGCCGGACATTAAAAAAAAAAAATTATTATTACTAAACTATTTGACTATTGCTAAGACTTTATTTATTAAGCCCCCTAACTATTTGCGTCCATATCACGTTCAGTAATTTTTTAAGGTGTATAATAAATGAGCATAGGTCGGTAATTATTAGTGACTGAACAAATTAACTAATTGTTTGCACTACATTTTTTCTAATAAAATATTTATTATTTACACACTTTTGGCTAACAAATCTCTTTTACTTTTTGCAATGCTTTTTTTTTTAAACAGTCCACGTTCCCGTTGTATCCCGATCCCCGACACCGATGAAAATGATATAGGGGTGCCGCTGGTATTGAATAAAGGGATACATTTTCGTATAACTCATCGTTTTGCAGCTTATCACTGGGAGATATTACGATAGACTTTCGTTTTCAATACTTCAATACGAGTTTGGTCTCGGGGACTGTACCAACCCCATCGACCACAAATCATTATCGAAGCTTTTACATCGTTCAGCTGTATAAAGTCTCGTGAAAACACATTTTATATACTATGACATGCACAACATACATAATAGCAATAACCTAGACATGTGTTAAACATAAATGAATCAGCTTTACCGATGTTTGAATCCTAAAATAAATACAAAATAAATATCGACTTAAATTGTTTTGATAACGTGCGCGAGGCAGTGTGTATCGTTGATTTGTCAAAGAAAACATTTTCCGGTGAAATATTTATGGAAAAATGTATTTATGGAACGATTTTCGTCACATTACTAGTTAAGGTGCTCAGTGCTGTTCGATATTTACGTATCCTGCAGTACTCTAGTCAGTGGATCTCAAACTTTTGTTGTTCTGCAGGATTGGAGCAACAAATACACAGTATATACACTTATAGCTTAAATTGTATAAAGTTATAAATTACAACTAAACATACTTTTATTGTTTTGGGAAAAAAAGTAATCATTTCTATACTCATGTCTAAAATCTAACTATGCCTATATAAATGAATAGGTAAGGTTATACAAATAAATAAGGTTATAAATGATAGATATGCATGACAATTATCATACTTGGAAAAATGACAAATAATACATATAATTTATAATGATATGTAAATAATACATTTTATTATCATAGGTAAATAAATAATAAATATTATGTAATTGTGTCGGTACGATAGCATTCGCGAACCTACATCAGAAATAAAATAAAGTAGACAAGAAAAAATTGTATCATTTGTATTATGCTGAAATTAGTTTATACTAATTTATTGTGATATAAAAAATGTATAATTTTTTTTAATTTAAAAAACTGAGAAAAATATTATAAACATAATATATACGCGTTTATATTTTCAAAAATTTCATGACACACCTAATGTAAGTTCACGATACCTTGATTGAGAATAACGGGTTTACATAAATTCCATAAATAAACATTTACATTTCGACTTTTTAGTATTGTAAGTTATAAGTCTATAATCAACGGTTATAGACAGTAAATAATACTATATTCATGTTAAGGTGATTTCAATATTAAAGTTAATTAGATATTAGAATCCGAGCACCTTTACCATTAAAAATTAAAATGATTTCTTCGACATTAGGTGTAAGTACTTGTCAAATAAAACAATTTATCAACTTAAGTATTTGATTGCATTTATAGTTGCCAATTTTTAAAAACACGACACTGTAAGATTATTTTTACAAAAAATGTTAATTTTTATCAAAAAATAAAATGCCACAGTGTAATACCAAGAATAAATCATAGTTTAATTATAATTGCACCAGTATTAGCTTAAAAACAGTAATCAAGGAATTAAAAAAAAAAATGAAACCGCACGCCGATTATATCCAGCAAAATAGAATCGAGGATGCATTTTATTGCTCCACATTATACCTGCATACTTTAAATCAACATGATTTTACCACAATATTATATAACACTATATAAATTAAACATTTTAACAATAATTGCAACCAAATATATGGTTTTCATTGGCAGTTAATTATTATGTTTAATATTTACTGACAAGTGTATAAATATTATAAATTAAATGTATTATTTGTCAAGTATATAATTGTGTATAGATATCATTTATAAC